AACCAAACGGTAATAGGAAATGGATGACGGGAACAAGTTTTGGTGAAACAGGAAAGTTCTTGTCCTGTGCTTGCACTTGGCGGTAAATGTAATCATAAACGTCATCATAAAGGAAGCGATCAGCAAAGGAGACATTAAATTCTTGGATACGAGACTAAGCCGATGGGAGTCATCTTGGTCAGATCTGGCTCTTATAATAATAAAGTATGGCAGCGATACTATAAACCGAGAATTCTTCCAACCTCTTATGGATTGTATAGAGAGAGTTCCATTTGATGTCTTCTGTGAGTTTCTAAACGTATAGGCGTCTGAGTCAAGGGAGCTCTCTGTTTCTATGACCGCTTATCAAGATTGGAGCGAATTGTATGTTAGCTAAGTTGTCATAAAACGTTAATAGATCTGTTTTGGAATTATTGTATGATAAAATCCCGTTTCCCTTATTGAACAGTGAAAGTTTGGTCAGAGTGTAGATCTCCTACCAGCCAGTACCCATCCTGATATTTCGCGATGTATCCCCGCACTCTTTAGTAAGGATCTGCGACTGTATGAAATTAGTAGGACCAATAGGGGGTCATTTGGGGACGATAAGATTTTTCTCATGCTCATCAAACTATAGGATATTAATATCGACTTTCATGGACCTACCTAATAGAAAAATAAATGAGAAGAATTTCCCAGTGATTCTTTCGCTGCAGAATTTATGTAATATTCGACTATACCAAAAATTGTCAAAGAGCTTCGAGATATCCCAAGGCGTTTCTTATTGAGATATCCTTTCTCAAAAGCTTCATTTATTCTATTGGTGATAATATTTAATATATCAGCAGTGGACTCAGAGAAGACAAAATGTTACAGTTTGTCGCACAGGGGTTTGTTTCTACTGAAGTTGTAAACGAATCTCTTATTGATGACAGCTTCAAAAAGTTTGCTGATGAGACTATAGAGGCGATATTGTAATGGGGAGGGGATCAACTACATTTTTGATATACGTTATGGTCTCCCATGGTCCCGGTCAGCATATTTTGTTCAGGTAATGGCTAAACCGCATTGTCAATATTGGAGGAGTTATTTCTGGGCCAAGCTTCTAGAGATGAACTACGTGGATTGCATCAAGAGCTGTAGCATTTGGTAACCCGGGAAATCTTCAGATCTGAGATATAACAAACGCTTGTGCTGTGTAAGGATGGCGGAGTCAGTTAAAGAATGTCCTTTGTCGTGTAATGTAGAGTTAGAAACAAAGATCATTGCAAATCGGTATAAAGTTCCGGTTTAACAGTACTACAGTTTCAAAATTGCTAAAGAAAATACTTCAATTTCACGAGAGATTCCTAATGCCTTACCTGTTGAACAAAGAAGACTTAAGCACGCTGACATTTATACTGACCTGAATTATGCAACTAGCGGAGAAATTTATACAATAATGTCTACTTTAGCAAGACAAAACGTCATTCACTTTAAGTATATAAACACTTGGTTTTATTTTAAATCGATAGTTTATTCGTGAGGTTTTAACTGATTTTAGATTCATTTTCATTTTTAACTATTTTAAATTTTATCTAAAATGTGATCTCAACAGAGATGTAGTCACGTAAATATAAGTATATAAATAGTGAAAATAACGATAACTGTTCAACCCAGAAATTGAGATATGCATTTATGTCGTGGCCTTGTCGGGGCCAAAAATAAAAACACAAAGATGGGAAGTTAGTTAAACAAATATATTAAGAGAAACAGTAATACAAACCATATACAAGGAAGCTTGAACGTTCGGTCCGACTGTCAGAGCTGACTGTTGGAAACAACACTCTCACCAAAAAGCACTACCTGCTCTTAATTATAGCTGGGAGAGTCCATGCGTGTATGGGTAAATTCTCATAACAATTTATAAGTAGTTTTCATGCGATGAGTTACCGTCACTTCAACAGATTTCTGACTATCGGATTCAATCTTCTTTTTATTATGTTGCTACAATATAACAACTGATGAATTCTGTTCTTCTTTAGGTGTACAACTTTGTGGATGATATTTCATGTGATTTCGGTCTCATTAGATAAAGGTTCCAAAACGCGCGCAATAAGAGAAACCTATTCAAATATCTAAATATCTATTTAATATCTATTTAAATATCTTTCATAAAAGACGTCAGTCTATATTCCAAAATATGAGGATCTGTTGAGAAATGAGCTACTTGAAACTTATAGCTTATATATATATATATATATATATATATATATATATATATATATATATATATATATATAAGATATAATCTGAAATTATTTCCATTGTAGTTCAAGCTTTCTCCCTGCTATATATTTAGTGAGTCTTAATAAAATCCAAGGAAGAGTCTGCAAAGGTATTTGTCCTGACCCGGCATCGCTGTTTCAGTCACTTTGCCACCTTTATAATATAGCTTGTTTTTGACTTTTCTATATATAAAAACAAAACTTTCTTGATAACTGTTTTGATGATCATTCCTATATGATAACAAGAATTTATGAATTTAAGTGCAGTACAAGATTGGCAACAATTCTTCATTACTTTACAGTTGAATTATCTAGATATAACCCAAAGCAAACATTTTTTAAAATATTTCTTCGCCTTTTTTGCTCTTCCGGCTTCTTGATTTCTAGTCAAGTTTGATCTTCAAAAATGTAAATGCAACGTAAATCTTCATCTACTGTCATCATGGTTCCTATTATTTTATTGCTTTTACTACTTAATAATTGTTTTTCTCTTATTCTTTCATATTAAATAACCACTTATGTATTAGTGTTTTTATTGCCTTGGATTTCTTAAAAATAATACATAATTCATTATGGATTTTATCCAATACGATTTAAATATTTCATTCTTAATAAACGTAATAAACAGCTGACCTTAAAAAAAGATTTATTATATGATTCAGCATTTGATGCGTTTCCATATTTTCCAACCGGCCAAAATACATATTTATCTAATATTGAGAGAAATGATTATTCTTTCATGAGTTATTTACTAATTTCTGAGGTTAATATCAGCAACACCATTCTCCAGCCTCATTGATGTGCCCGGCATATATGGAAAGAGACATTTCTTTTCAAATAAGACAATTGTATTTAACATCAGATGTTGATTTTTAGGTTGCATAATGAGGAAGGAGGGCTTGAAATATTTCATAGCTACAGGATAGATTGAAACTAAGATGGACAGAGGAAAAACAAATCATAGCCTATCTAGCAATCACGAATAAATGGATGGCGGAACAAAGTTTGCGAGAGATAAGGAAAAGAAAATGTTATATATTAAGAGCTACATAAAAATACACAAAAAATTATTAAGAGCTTCATATGTATTGTGCGCTAAAGGTGAGAAGAAGAAGAAGAAGAAGAAGAAGAAGGAGATGAAGAAGATGAAAAAGAAGATGATGAATAGGAAGTAGTAGAAGAAGATGAAGAAGAAGGAGAAGAAGAAGATGATGATGATGATGATGATGATGATGATGATGATGATGAAGAAGAAGAAGAAGATGGAGAAAAAGAAGATGATGATGAAGAAGATGGAGAAGAAGGAGAAGAAGAAGATGAAGAAGAAGAAGAAGAAGATGGAGAAAAAGAAGACGTTGATGAAGAAGATGAAGAAGAAGAAGGAGAAAAAGAAGATGAAGAAGAAGAAAGATGAGGAGAAGAAGAAGAAGAAGAAGATGAAGAAAAAGATGATGATGCAGAAGAAGAAAAATAAAATGAAGAAGAAGAAAGAGGAGATGAAGAAGAAGAAGAAGAAGAAGAAGAAGAAGAAGAAGAAGAAGAGGAAGATTATTGCACCAACAAGAAAAAGTGGATCTACATAAAAAGAAATAAATAATCCGTGTTATCTGAGATTTTTTTTTTGCTAATCCATAAAGTGTTTATCACTATGGATCTTATATCTGAAGATGGCTTTAAAACAAATCAGTCTAAATGTGGTGTTAAGAATAAATATAACAAAGGAAGGAAATATAACAGTTACTAGACCTGATGTCTATGAAGAGAGACTTTTTAAACAGAAAATAATTTCTCATAAATATATTTTTTTCTTTGCTGTCATCTAGAGCTAAACGTTTTAAAATAGTCACTCAGTGGTCTTAATTAAAATGCATTTTAATTCATAGTACAAACCTAGATTGATACTGAAAATATCCTTTTATAAATATCATATTGACTCAGCTATATTTTATATCAAAATGATTATTACAATCTTTCATTTCAATGACATATTTTAGAATGCTTATGAAGGAAATCTGGAGAAGACGTCTAACATATATTCTCTTTAATATAAGAGAACTTACAAATATAGCGTAAGCTTCAACATCCTGAAGGCATTGCAATATTAGAGCATGATACAATAACTGATAAATAATGTATATATAAAAGTTTCATTTAATGAAGAAACAATGTTTGTCTTCTGATTCATGTAAATGCTCAGTTCGTATATGAAACTGTCAATATAAAAGCGTACATATATATTCAGCAGAATCCCATCAGTAGCGATTGTATTCTCTTTAGAGATTCGCAATGAATACTTGATTAAACACAATCCTGTAAGTATTTAAACCCAAAACAAAATAACTCATTTTATGGAAGAAGTCCTGTTAACCGCCAAAAAATATAAGAAAATAAAAGACAACTCAAAATGAGCTACTTATAAAAAAGCTTGCATCTATCGCCATTGAATGACCAACGCCATCTGGCGACGAACCAAGTAGACCAATTTGGCACCTGGCAATCTCTATTGGCGCCATTTCTTACAAAAAGATTGATGATGACTAGAAAGAAGCCTGAGTTCTTCTTTGGTTGACTTTTCTTCGGAGGCGCTAAAGGGGAAAACCTAAAGAAAAAAATGTGATTAAGAGGTAATGATAATCTAGCAGACATCTTTCCCACGTGACACTCAGTCTTCCACGGAAGATCGAATGGGCTCTTCGACGTAATCAATAAAGAAAATGCCGTTTGGAGTGCGGCTAAACATGAAGAATGATTACATCAATGCAAAGGGGAAGAGAGAGAGAGAGAGAGAGAGAGAGAGAGACTCTCTATGTGTGTATGTATGTGTGTGTGAGATTGTGCCTGTGTGTGTATGTAAAGTAGGAAGAAGAACAAGGAATGGATTGAGTGAGAGCAAAAGGAATTGAGGAATAGATAAAAATAATGTAGGTAGATTGACAGTAGAGAATGGAGGAATTTTGAGGGAAATAAGAGGAGAAAGAAGGACAAAAGAAAGAAGATAAAGGAATGAAGAATATTGGAGAAAAAGGCTTGAAGAAGGAACAAAAATAGAATCAGATATAGAAAAAAAAACTGTAGAAATGAACAGAGAAAAAGCAATTGAGAAACAAAGAGAGAGAAGGAAATACAGAGAGAACAAAGGAAGGAGTTTTAATGGAGAAAACGAATTGAAGAACAGAGATAGAGAATATATAATGGAATAAAATAGAAATAATTGTAAAGAGAATAACTTCCAGAATAAGGAAATTCATATAAATATATGTCCGTTTCTGCGTTGTTAAGTTCAAAGAAAGTTTACGGTAGATGGCGCTGTCCTACCGTGTAGACTAGATTATATTTGTTATTCGTGTGTATTTCTGACTAGTTTGTCTCCAGAATTAAACGTGTGTAGTAGTGAGTTAACTGAGATATGTTCCATTTAACAATGGCAGGATATTCGTATATATGAGCAGGCAGATATGATTTTTCACACACACACACATACATTGAGTAAGTTAGCAATACACACGCTGAGTATGTATGAATGCATGTATGTATGTATAATACAAACATATTCGAGAAGAAACAGCCAAGGGAGAGATAGCGAGATAGAGAGAAATTAAGCTAAACTCGTTTGTGATAATAGAATATTAAATCACCTTAAATCCAGAATATTTTCTCTAAAATTTGCAGACTTATTCTCCCTTACACAATCACTCATAAACACGCAAGTACTTTGCCATATATTTCTAGGATTTATTTACCCATTTTAAAAATTATTTAAAATTTGGCTAATCTAATCGAATTACAAATTATAATAAAATAAATTTAATCCTAATTATTCTGTTATGTTTATTATTACAAATTCACAAAAAATAAAATAAAAATGTATATGTAGTTATTAAGCATCTTGATTCTTTTGATTAATTTTCTAGATGATAATTTCATTAAAATGTATATTTCTCTTACACAACATAGAGCAGTGTATTGACATTCCACTTTATATCAAATGGAATGTTAGGAAAGAAACATGCATAAGTACTGGAAAGTTCGATAACTGCTATAAGACATGAGACACCTATTGGCTGAAAATTATTTTAAGAGAATTATTTTATACATTTCAACTGAAAGTAAGACTGTCAACTCGGTTAATGAATATCGAATCTTTCTTTGTAAAATAACGACTAATATTATGATTAACATTAGGGATAATCAGAACAGATACTACACTTTGATCCCAGTCCGATGGATCGAATGAAGAAAAGCGTAATTCGAGTAGCACCTGCTGTTCGGCCAATAAATGCTAAATGTTTCTTATAATGAAATGGACAATACAATGCAATATAATTATTATTATCTAAACTAGTATTGTTTTCATACCATAAGGTGATCATTAGAAACATAATGACGCCAGAAACGCGTCAATCCGCTAGAGGCTTCGAGGATTGTCAGGCCTTTCTCCGTTAAACTCCAAACAACGTGTAGGATGATGTTTTGGGGTTAAGATAGGTTTCATACGCGAAAACACGCATTTTTCTGAGGTCAATGGACCGAAACCGAAGCATGACGACGTCATTTTACTTGGTTCCACTAGTGTTTTTAGAGATTAAATCCAGTGACCTTAATGACTACACAATGTAACATTTGAGAATCGTGAACTAAAATTTCATTATCATCAAAAACCAAGATGGCGCCAATGAGTTATTGTAATACGGTTAATAATATCACGCAGGAGACATAAATATCATAAACAATGAACGGATTTTTTGTTTTCTGATGCTTGTTATTTCCCCCGGATTAACACACAACCAGATCCAGTAAAAAGTTTTCGGATTATGTTAATTGCAGAATAAAATCTCATTCTTTCACACATATTGATGACCATCAGTTTGGTGTTAATTTGTGGGAAAAATACTCTGGACTTTTGTTAGAAAAAAAACAGATCACATGCATTCTGTTCTGCTGAAGGTTTTACTCATGAGTTTGGTCCACACAATATTTACTTATTCTGCACTCACAAATTATAAACACGGATGGTTATTGTCGAATGATGCAACATGTTTTCGGTTATCTGTCAGGCGTATTTAGATTTGAGTTAGAGTTCACTGGCGACATACAAATAATTAAATTTATTGATCCATTGACTGTTTAATGCATGAAAAAAAGTCGACTGGTCAGAGTCATGGGGTTCACAGACAATATCAATCTACTTTCTCCAGGCGTGCAGCGGTTCTCTCCGTCATATACCACATACCATGAGGATTTCTTCCAAAAAAGGGTCTACAGTAATTTGCGGGAATCTAGTCTGAAAATACTCCTATTTAAAATGATGTAATGAATATGCATACACCTGGGTTCCCCCTCACAGTAATATGATTGTCTGGTGTCAGCCATAAATACAGACTGATGTAGAGTCACAGAACAACGCCTATTGGCTACTCCTATAGTCTTTGCCTATTGCCTACGCCTATTGCTTACCACAAAGACGAGGACCAGTCCATTACGGTTACCTGCTAGATTGTCCTACTCGGTTACAGTAGACCAAAACAACTTTGCTACTTCGAACAAATATATTCCTTTCCTGGACATATCATAAAATAATTTATAAGTAGTTTCGCTAATAGTTAATTTCATTTATCCTTTATCCGGGATCAATTTCATTCTCTTCATTAAGGATTCCACTATAGAGATCACGTTTTATATTTTTGCGCACGCTAGAAAGCGATTTTTGATACACAACATTTAAAACCTGTTCAAATACGGCAATATAAATTAGCTACGAATATTTTTAAAAGGAGCAGATCTATATTCCAAAAGATGAGGTTCTAACAAGAAATTCACTACTTGGAAATTATTCGTACTTTATTTATATAAGGATATAGTGTAAGGATAGTTTTGATGCTAATTAATATGGAAGACTATAAATGGAGAGTATTAATTCATGAACATTAATGATTTATTGTCCCATAAAACTTAAATACTTACGTCAGTGTTTCTCAAACTTTTCTTCTTCGTGGCCTTTTTTTTTTTTTTTTTGATATCAGGCGCACATAACACAAAAGTAAATAAATTGTAAAAAGAAATATATTTTATTTACAAAAACAAGATGCAGGAAATATTATTGTTGGCTAATAACTAAACTGTCTCTGGTGCCTATCTATCAGATTTTTAGGTCGAAATTGCAGGCATTGGATTAGCTTCAGGCGCATGACTAGTTTCTTTTTAAGCTACATTTCCAGGCGCATTTAAAATATTTTTCAGGACCCCTTTTGGGAGAAAAGGCCCATGTTGAGAATCACCGACTTAGATGTTGATAAAAACAGCAAAATAAAAAGAAAAATACTAAAATATTATTATTAATCGATTCTGTTTTGTCCGTGCACAAATTCTCTATAAGATTTGAGTGATTATATCTTTCCCCAATTCTCCTTTGATGCTCTCATAACTATCTCTTTTTTTCCTTGCTTTGTCATCCTTTCGCACAAACCCGCTATATAGATGGCATTATAATTCGCTGGTCTTCCAATGATAGATCGTGATGACTCATATCAGTACTAAAAGCCACAGCAAAGCTTTGCACATTGGGTTCTCGTGCACTTTTATGTGTTTCCTGGACCTTTGGTTAGTAACTCGTATAATCTTCATGATAAAATATATTATTTTTATGTTCAAATTGTTATTGTTCTTGTCGTAAAGATAACTTCAAATAATATATTTTTTCTTCCCAAACAGTATGAATATATTAACTTTAAAATACTATCCTTTATCTTTTAGAGTCTTTAGAGACATTAGTCATTCATTGGTCTGATTTGATTTAAGGATGAAACTTTTGCCAGCGACGTTGAACAGATAGAGAGATTAACAAATGGACAGAAACGAATCATTCTTGCGACAAATCGACTATGTCACTTTTTTCCCCATTATTACATACTAGATATTATCTCGAAAGTATATGCCACATTGTCTGTAAAATAAATTCTACAGTAATTAATAAGGGAACTGAGTATAGCATCCCGGCTTTAATACATCAAGATTTATTTACGCAATTCAGCACAAAATTATTTTGTCTCTGCTCAGCTTTGTAAACAACTTCATAGTAGACTGCGTAACTTAGGCCCAGCTCGGATCCTAGACCAATTCTCTTAAATCTTCCTTGCATCATTTACCTTCGAACGATTGTCTTTCATGTTTTTATAACAAAGTTTCGATCGGTGGGCCGTCCGTCTGCCTTCATATGTCTGTCGATCTGCCTGACTTTCAATAAATTTGGAACTTAAACATTTATTTAATATCGGAGAATAAAATTATACTCCTTCCGTGGTCCATATTCAACGATACCTACCATATTTACTAATGAATTTGAAACTGCACAAGTATCGCTGGTCCTGTTTAACACTCAGTGGTAGGTCTTACAGGAAATAAAACATATCTTCATAGAGAAAATTCTGTAACGTCAGTTTTCCATTACGGAAATATTAGAAATAAGGTACCCTATTTTAAACTGACTGTTTATTATTTGCATATATATATATATAGGTTATAATATATATATATAGAAACGTATATATATATATATATATATATATATATATATATATATATATATATATATATATATATATATATATATATATATATATATATATATATATATATATATATATATATATATATATATATATATATATATATATATATATATATATATATATATATATATATATGTATATATATATATATATATATATATATATATATATATATATATATATATATATATATATATATATATATATATATATATATATATATATATATATATATATATATATATATATATATATATATATATATATATATATATATATATATATATATATATATATATATATATATATATATATATATACGATATATATATATATATATATATATATATATATATATATATATATATATATATATATATATATATATATATATATATATATATATATATATATATATATATTATAATATGGCATTAAAAAATCACTCTGGGAAATATTTTTCATTCCTTTTCCGTTCAGGACTTTGGTTTTGTTGTATCATGG